AGAAAAAAGAATCAAAAGTTTCTCGTTCCCGAATAATTGGAGAAGAGCACAGAAATACTTTTGTGGTTAAAAAAGAAAAGAAAAAATGGAAAGGAAAAGTTTTATTCACCTTTTTTTCTGTTTTTCAATACTTTAATTTTAAAATATTCTTAAAAAAATTTGAAAAAATGTTCTCAGTTTGCTAGTCTAATAATTTCCTACAATGAAGCTCTAACTCCAAAATTAAAATTTAGAACTACTAAAAGACAACTGGAAATTTCTGGGACCTAAAATAAAATGAAGAACGGGATAACCCATACATATAAGTTTTCGATATAACTTAGGGTAATGTATGAAATAAGAATTGGAATACAATTACAGTGAGTACACTTTTCATGAGCATCCAAACTATTGTTTTAGGAATTGAGAATTTTTCAAAATATAATTATGTAAAGTCAAAAGTAAAACAGTGTTAAACGTTAAATACTATTATAAAACTCAAGAACATAAATAAATGAATAAAGGTACTAAAATATTATTGGCGTAAGTAAAATATTGACAAAAAGCGTCACGAACAGAAATTTTCTTGTGTCATCTCAAGTTTGATTTAAATAAAATCTGGTGCTCCGGCGTCCATTAATTTACAAACAAAATCAAGTGTTGAACAAACTTTTCAACAATTTAAACCGCAAACTTTCAAACAAATATAAATAAATGTTAAATGTTGTTACAATAAGGAACTGCAGTATTTATAGGGAGCGCAAATGAATAACAATACTTACAAAATATTTACTTTCTAAAATCCTCAAATTAAAGTTCGCAAACTCAATTTATTGATATTCAAAAATTAATTTTTAAAAATGTGCTTTCCCGAAATCACCGTATAATATTACAACTTAATTTATTTTTTATCTCTTACACATTCTTCTTCTGAACTTGTTATTTTATACCATCATCACCCTTAAGTATGAAAATAAAAAAATGAAAAACCACACAGCTTTTGTCTTGCAAAAAAATTTTTCTTTATATTTTTCTATTTTTAGTTAAAGGTCATTTTCCCTTTCGCATTCAAAATATCATCTTGAACTCCTGAAGATCTCTTTTCTTGTATCCTGAAATATTTTGCGAAGAAAAAAAATATGATAGACAAGTTTTAAAGAAGTGAACAATTACTAAATAGTTTTTCATTTTTTTAAAGTTTATTTTAATAAAACGTCGCCCCGTCTTCTTTAAGCAAAAAAAATATATTGTATGTTACTTGCGGTCGAATATAATATTGAATTCTTTATAACTTTAATAAAAATTTAAAAATTAAATTTAATTAAATTGATCTTAAGAGTGTGGTGGTTTCTGCATTTAAAAATGGATTAATTAAATTATAATAAATTGTACAACTGGTGCCTTTTATAACTTTTAACTTCGTTTTGTCTAATAAAACAAAAGTCCAAACAAATTTCTTTTTGAACGTTCGCAATTTTGCCGAAATTGATTTAGAGTTACTTTAGTTGTCTTAAAACTAGTGCAAACATCTGAATTTTGAACATTTGAAATGTTTTCAACATGTTATTTCAAAATATAAATTTTATTTGTGACAATATTTTTTCAAATTTTATGATTTTACGACTACACGAGGCATAACCAATTTTTTGTTTTAATGAAAACATACGAAGAAAATGGTGTTCAAATTCTTGATAATTTATGAAGATGATTTTACAAATTTTTCCGCGACTTCTTGAATTTTATCTTTCACATAATGTTTAATTTTTAAAACTGATCAGTTAGAGCAACGATTGTCAAACACACTATGGCGACGCGACCACAAGTATGGTCGAGCACAGTATAAAAATGGTCGTCCGATAATGAAAACTTAAAATTTAATAAGTTTTTAGTTTGAATAATTCGATACTGGGGAGAGTAGATAAGATGATTAAAGAGCATGAACAACATAAAATCCATTAAATATTAATTCAAAAATTGAAAATCGACACAAAAATTTTTGTGGTCGCGCTGTCATGAATTTTAAGAAACACTACGTTAGAATAGTATGTTTTCAAAATTCCTGGTAAACGAACTAAAATTTTGATAAACATTTACTATAAATTTCATATATTAATAATTATTGAATATTTATTTAATATTTCTTATTTCAACTTTATCGTTTTGTTCCCAAAATATTTCCATTCAACAACCCGCAAGTCGTAGGTTACCAATTCCTGAATATATGCACAAATTTAAATGTGTTTACACACTTTATGAATTTTTAAAGCAACTACAAATTATTAGAGTAATGTACCTGATTATTTAAACCTTGTAGTAAAATTTAATGCTGACCATTCAATTTACCTAGAATATTTATACTACCCCTTTAAAATTTTCCTAAAAGCTCACCTTATTAAAGTAATTCCTTCTCAGAACACTTACTGTTATAGTTAGTGAGTTAGAGTGTTTATACACTGTGAGTTAGAGTGATTATTTACAGACTTGTACATTACAAAATAAAAAAAATGGATTTCATGCTCCAATTAATTCATATTTCTATTATTTATTTTCATTTTTAAAATTTTAAGGACATAACGAAAATCGTATCAAGGATATTTTTGCTTCTTCCAATTTTCAATTTAAATTATAATTAACTTACGATAAAAATTTTGTTTTAAACATAAAATGCTACAATTTCCTATATAAATTAATTTTAATTCACTACGAAGAATTTTTTATTTCTTTTAATTATTGTAACAAATAATTTTCGAATCAGTGATTTGAGTGTAACACTTGACAACGAATTCTTGAGCATAGTCTTGATTTTTCTTATATATTTTTTATTTTTCTATGAAATGAAAAACTTTAAAAATTTTTCTCCCCTTTTTTTTCTTGTTGTTGAAAAGGACATTCTTTCCTTCTAGTAAATAAATAAATTCTTGAATGATTTCGTTCTATAATTAGAAAAATATCATTGAAAAATTCGTTATCCTCCTTATGTTTTTGATTCTGTTATCTTCAAGAAAACAAGAAAATAAGAAAATAAAACAATTAAAAAAAATAATTAAGAAAAAAATGCGATTGTCTTTTTAAATAAGAAATTTGTCTTCTTAAATTTTCTTTTGCAAATTTGAATCGGAAATATAACTTCATAAAACTTAAAAAAGTATGAAGCACTTTAAGGACTTTTACTTTTAAATGGAACTTGTTGGAAATTGTAATATAACTGAAGTTTGTCCTAAAAATGAAGTCCATTTCAGCTGAAATTGTATAAAACGGAAGGAAATGAAATTAAATTGAAAATTTCGTTCCTAATTTATTAAATTTGTAATGTAATAAGAAGTTCCTTGTGCATTTTCAGCTGTACTGCTGTTCATTCTGTTTCTTGTGCATTTTTAGCTGTACTGTTCATTAATTTAGTTGAAGAAATTTGATGTTTACTGATTTGAATTTTAAAATTAATTTGATCAATCCAAAAAATCTGATCAAATTTAATAAGTTTAAAAGAATGTTTAAGATAATGGGAAAAATTTTGGCAAGAACAGTTAATGTTAATTTTGGGCTGGTATCAAAATTCAACAAACACGAAATTTGAATAATTTAGCAGTTCATGATATTTTATAATTAAAAGAAATTCATATTTTTTCTGGAAGATCTTCTGCATTACTTAATCAACTAAAGAAATTGCATATTTGAAAGACAAAATTCAAAAAAAATAACAATTTTCAAAATATTATGGTCGTCAATTCCTCTGCAAATACGAGTATGGCAAATATCTAGCAGTGGAATATTTTCAATATAAGATCCAAAATGTTCATTCATTTTAACTTAATTTTACACAAAAAAATAATAATTTCACAATTGTTTCTAGTCAAAAATTAAAAATAAATACTAAAGCTGATAAATCGGAATTAATGAACTTAATTAAAATAAGCTCAGAACTATTCGACATTTCAATTCGCGAATGTGACCAGCAAATGATTTTTCTTCTATCTAGGCGTTTAATCAAACTTTTCATTGAAGTCATTAACTATTTTTTAATCCAAAAATCAAAGGATTTTCTATTACAACCCCATTTTTAATATGAATTTTAATTATTTTCTCGCATTTATAATTGTGATTTTCAATTCAATCCTTCTAAACCATCGTTCATCAAACTTGTTATTTCCAAATCAAATAAAATTTTTTTCCATTTTATTTTTCTTCATTAATTTCAATTGTGATTTTACATAATGGTATGCTGTCAGACATAATAATATACCTTTAAGGATTCATTCAATTCATTGAAGAGTGGAATTATCGTTTTTATATGGGCATCAGTTTTAATTTTCAATCACAGTTTTTATAATTTATTATTCTTGCGATCCCATCATCGAGATTAATGTTTATTTTATAATAATTGCAGTTTAATTCTCGAATGCTATTTGCTATAAAATTTCATTTAAATTTATAGCAGCGAATAATGAAAGTGAATTTCGAACGAGCACAGTTGCTGCATGTATATGTATTTGCTTGCATTTATTTTCATAAAACATTTGAATTAAACTGGGGTCAAAAGAATGATTTGCTGGAAAGCACATTGTAGATTTTTTGTATTTTTTGTTTGCAATGTTTTTTTTATATTTTATAAAAGGAATATTTGTAGGAAGGAATACAAGTATAACAGAGTAACTTAAATTAACGTAGGGTTAAGATTTATAATTACAAGGTTGAGAAACATTATAAGTTTTTCAAAACAAGAAAATAAAATTTGAATCTATTGGCTTTGGAAAATTGGCTATTTACGATGATTTTAAGAAATTAAAAACATTTTTTAGTTTGAATAATTAAAATATTTTTTTTTAATATTTATTTATATATTACTGTGCCAGACGGCATAGACGGAAATGATGGCTGATGGTTCCGGTCAGCCTTGAATGGTTGGGAACGGTCTAGATCATTGGAACAATAGCCCGGGCCTATCTTATTCCAAAAAATTTGTATCTCTTTTGGAACCAAAGGACGGAAGCTAACCGCACTCCGGCCATCTGAAAAGGATGGGCATGGCGGAGAATGATATCTGCCGTCTATGCCTGGAAGACGACAAAACTGTGGACCACTTATTATGTCAATGCGATGCGGTGACTCGCCGCGATTTCGGAAGGGGCTTTGTGACCAAAACAGAGATCTCGCAGCTTGAGGTGGCTGCTATACTACAATTTGTAATGGACCTGAGGGTCTCGGTCCCCTACACTTGAAAAATAAAATTAATCTACTGGGTATACAATATATTCTATGATATATCGAAAAGAAATTTTGAAAACGAGGTTTGTTTCATATGTAGCACAAATCTTAAACTAGTATCATAATCTCTAACAATATGAAGTAGGTTTATGCAATATAAACGAAAATTTTATTTGAATTTCGAATTATAAAATTTATTATAATTTTTGCTTAAATTTTTGATTATTTAAATTATTTCACTATAATTAGTTACAAAATTATTTTTAATTTTTATTTCAGCTCATTTTAACTGGGTTATGTATAATTACGTTAGCAAGAAGAAGAAATCGCTACAGTTTTTTGGTAAGTAAATAAACAAGTCAATAAAATTTTTTTAATTTTATTAATGTACTTCTTATAGTATAAGCATCATTTAATTATTATTCATCAAAAAAAAAATTTTTTAAAAATGAAGAAACTGAATTATTATTTTTACTTGCAAAATTAAATTCCTGATTATTTATTACAAACTACAGGTCGAAAATTTCAACTATATGCAACCATTTTTACTATTTTTTGAATGCGTCAATCTGAAGCAACAAAATACATTTTTTACCATTTTTTGAATTATTAATTATTGCCTATGTGTCTATTTATGTAAATATGACAGCATTCTTAAATCTGGTACAATTTATTCTTGTGATTGGTTGGAAAGATCTTTCCTAAATATCATTTTTCGTTATTGTTGTTGGCTCCTTCAATATTTAAACTATATTTATGAACAAAAATTTAAAAAATAAAAATTAAAATACTGAAAAATTTTAAATAGTTTACAAATTTGACCTTAAAATTTCAATAGTCAAAAAATTTTAAAAACTAATTACCTTAAGCTTCAATTTTTTTCCCATTGTTGTTTTAAAACCCATTAAAGTACACATACAAAACACATACACTCTAACGCTTGTAACAACTCAGAAAAAAACGTAATTCATTTTCTCTTTTGCAAAATAAATAAAAGAATCTTTAAGTAAATCTTTTTATTAACACAAATTATGTTCATTTCATTTAGTTAATTCTATAATTTATCTTTTCAATAAAAAAAAGCAAAATTAATTTCATTTTTTAACACCCTCTTCATTTGGAGTACTTTTATTTTTCTGCTTCTTCAAACTTGAAGAATCTAAGAAAAATTTAGAATCAAAACTAAATTATAAAAAATAAAGTAGTTAAGAATTTTTCCACGATTTTCCAACTTAACACCAAAAATGTTCTCCCTACAAAAAAAACAGCAAAATTAAAATTTTTTACTCTATAAGGAAGCAAAAAAAAAATACTAGCTGCGGAGAAAAAATAGGACACCAAAAAAAATTAGTGAAAGAAAAAAAGAAAAGAAAAAGAGAAATCAATAATTCAACAGATTTTCTTCTTATTCTTCCTCTTCTTGTTTTTTTTATAATTTTCTATGCTCTTCGATTTCAGTTCTTCAACATCCATCAGTCATCATTTAGAAAATTTTTTTAAAATATTCTACTTCTCCTTTTTCAATTCCGACCCTATTATTTTTTAATTCATAACCTAAAATTCATTTTGAATATAAACTAGGCAGCCTGCCTATTTTCCACCTTCCTTCTACTTGATAATATTTCAACTACTTGTTAGCTACTTTCTTAGAAGAGATAAGCAAGATGTGAATGGAGAATACTAAAAACTCATTTTGAAGATTCTAGAAAACCTATAGATATTTTTGTATAAGTGTATAAAATCCTCGAAATATTTGATTAACTCAAAAAAATAGAAATCCAATATAAGAGACCATACCATACAAATATTATTTTTCTCTGCATATATACTCGTATTTATATATACTATATGTGTGTATGTATGCCTGCCTTTATATTTGTTTTCCTTCCGTTTCCGTTTCCTCTTCTTTTATATAATTTTTTTTTGTTTTTTATGCTTTCTCTCTTAACTTTTCAATATCAGATCAATCATTTCATATTCTTAAATAAGAAGAAAAAAATCTCTTGTAAATTAAGAAAGAAAAATAGAAAAAAAATTTTAAAGTTCGTCCTTAATTTGCATTCCACCAAAAGAAAATTGGGCAAAAATTAAAAAAAAAAACGATGCAAAAAAAATTGTTCTCATTTTTTTCTCTTCCTTGTTGCTTTTCTACTTTCCCAATGATCAAAGCAAATTACTTGTGTCGAGTACATTAAAGTCTCCAAGATAAAAAAGAAAAAAACACAAAAGCCAAACCGGACATCAAAAACATACAAAAAAAATTTTAACGATTTATAAAAATTTTATTCTCGTCATTAATAAATAAGAATGATGAAAAATTTTACGGATTGAAGAAGGCCAAACATGTGATTAAAGAAAGAGGACAAAACCAAATAAAGAAAATTTAAATGAAAATTAAAGTTTAAACTCACACAACGGTTTTACAAACAGCAAGTTTTCCTAATTTCTTTAAAAAAATTGGTCTCATTTTAATGGCAATATTTAATTAAAAATATATTTTACATACACTTAATGAAATTTTTTTTGTTGAAAATTTCTTAATGTTTACAAAGAAATTAGTTCTTATTGTGATCTGTGAGTTTCAACATACTCAAATTAAAAATTCATTAAAAATTCTCACGTATCTAATTAAGTTTCATCAACCTGAAATCAACTGACGATTTCAGTTATAATTTATTCCATGACATTCCAAAATTTCAGTACTTTTTTATTAGGCACGGCTGCTAGCGACTAATATTTTAATTTTAAAAAATCTCTTAGCAAAATCGGCATGTCTCGCAAATTTGAATCTCTTAATAAAACTTAATAAAATATTATGCTCTGACCAATCGATACGTCTTCGATATTTGAACAATAAAATCAAAGAATGTCATCATTTTGCATATTAAGCCGAAAACACTGAAATAATTCATTAATAATTTGAAAATGTTTGAGAAATATTAATATAATCCGCTCTCTACAATTGAATTTTGTTTAACTTTAACACCCTTTGGGTTTTTTCTTACACCAAAACAATTAAAGTCTAATTATCTAAGTTTGACGGTATTAAAAATTTCACCATCGTTCAAATGGGAATGCAATAATAATGATAAGTAAATTGATAGCCACCCCCTCCTCCCCCAGTCATTTAAATTAATCATATGTACTCTTTTGTTGAGTTTTAAGGTTTTTTTCATAATAATTAATAACCTTTTTTTAGAATATTAGTTTAGGCTCTTTTAATAATAGTTTCATAATTTTATTGTCCTTTCGCTATAATTTGCTCAATTTTTCAAATACTAGAACAACATCCTTAAATTTTTCTGTAGACGGACAAAGAAAACACAAATTTTTTTTTTTTTTAATTTTTTTTTTGTTTTGGAATAGACATGTAAAAATAAACAAATGAGGAAAAAAATTATAACGGAAAAATATTTTTTCTTATTTTCATTCTAATTTTCATAACTAATGTTTTTCAGGATGACCACCTTAGGCGTGTCATAATGTCCTTTTTTCTCTTTTCATTTTACTTTTACTTAGCACAGGATGTTTATACTTTTTTTCCAATTCGGTTTATTTTTTTTTTTTTGTCATTTCTATTTTATGTCCTTGCCAGCGTCTTTAATCATCAAAACAAAATTTTTGTTTTATCTTTATAGCATTCAATCTCATACTTCTTATCCTTGTTATATTTCAGTCTGTCTATTGTGAATATAATTATGTTTACATACACATATTCGTCGACAGATACATACATACATATGCATGAAATTTTATGTATGAATACAAAATGTAAACATTCATTTTATCATTGCCATTATTTGTTTACTTTATAAACAGAATGCTTGCCTGCCTATACTAAAAATAATTCTATTTAAAAACAAAAAAAATAAACTGATATTCACTTTCGCAGAAAACAAAGATAAAAATGAAAAATTTTTGTATGAAAAAATGAAAAAGGATTTTCTTTAAAACAAAGAATCTTTGATATGCCATTATTAAAATATGAAAAATGTTGACATAAAGCAAATTTTTCCCATTTTTCTTTCTTTTCACTTAAATACACATACATATATATTAATTTATATATATATATTTTCTATTTTCAAGGACATTGAAAATATTAAAACAAAAGAAACCAAAAAAGAAGAAATAAAAACGTTATACAATCAACATAGTCGTGTACATAAGACAACCCAAACTCCAAAGAAAAAAATAAAGAAATATTAAATAAATAAAAAATTTGTATTGTAAATGAATATTTATGGTGTCAAAATTATTAGCAGAAAAATTCTAAATCATGAAAATTTATTAAAGTAACCATAAATTTAAAACAAGAGAAACGTATGCGTTCTAGGGAGCTGTCATCAGCCAAAAAAAAAGCACATAATATTCTTTATTAAAGAGAATAATCAGGGTTAGTGTTTACACAATAAATTTATTTTTTTCATAGAAAATGCCAAAGAAATTTAAGAAGAGATCTGAAACCAAACTTTTAACCTTATTGAAATTTTTCAAAATTATTAAATTGAGCGAAAAAAAGTGAATTTTCAAATTAATGATAAGTCTTTTATGTATAAAATTAAGAGGATTGAGGGAACTCATTATAAATTAAGGAGATTGAGGGAAAATTAGAGCTAGAATGAATTGTTAGACATTATAGATACTAGATAAATAAATTTTTAACTTCAATTTATGTACGTATATAAAATTTGCTTAAGTATTCTACCTATATTAATTATAAGTAAATAACCATAAAATGTATTGTAAACCAGATTTTAAAATCATCCAGCTGATTCTCTGATTTAAAATGAAATTATACAAGAAATGGAATTGAAACTTTTATATTCTTGTAAAATTGAGTAAATTTGGGCAAGATTCTTGGCAAAAAAAGTGAATAATTGTTAATGTTTCTGGGATTCCATCGATTCGTCCGATAAATATAATTTCATCGATAAATATAATGGTGTACTGCGTAAAATAACCTAATCTGATTCACAGATGTATAGAGAGATAATCAACAACTTTCTTTCAAATATTTTATTGTTCTAATTCAGGGTATTAAGGAAATTAACTTATAATTTTTTTTAGATCGGGGGTCAGATATCAAAGTTTAACTAGGCAACGATTTTGTACTTCTTACAACGTCTACAAGGAAGTAGTTTCTTCAAATTTAGTAATAGAATTGTGTTTGTTAGCGGTGCTAAGTGCCGAACTTTTCCGGGAATTCGAAAAGCATAAACTTCTACTAAGAGTGACTTTATGCAACACTCTCGCTATAGTAAACAATACACCAATACACAGTAATATGTGGTTGGTTATGTGCTGACCACATCAGATTGTTTCATTTATATTTCTATATC